TGCCCTGGAAACACAGCTAAATGGAGTCATGCACAGTCTACCGCCCACTGAAGCAGGTATGTCATTAGTGAGGTCACGTGTATGTAATTCATACTACTTGTTAGTCAATAATGTAATGTTTTCTAAGTAACACTAGAAGCCATTTTGTGATGGCAATTGATGGTGATTTGAAGGCGTTACCAATGTGCAAAATCGTTATTCTCAGCCACAATCCGCCTACTAGTTTATAATTGAGAAGTATAACCTAAGAAACAAACAACTTGCAACAGGTAGGCCATCTTGTGTTATAAAGTACTGTTAATTGTATTTAACAGAGAGCAGGCAGATATCTTTCAAGGCTGACGATGTGAACTCCATACTATGACGTAGCTACTTTTCACTGTATAGCTGGTTTGTTAAACAGTATACTGTTGTAAATCACACTACAGGTCTGGATGTGATGAGTCAGAAGCTGCACAACACGTTTATATTTTATTTTGTTTGTTAAATTAAAAAAACAAAAACAATGACTCATAGATTTATTGTGGACGATCCAAAGGAAGCAATGTCTGGTATTTTTTCACGACTTACCAGTGAAGGAACGCAGTGTTCTCCTCCCCACCCGGTTAATGCGCGATGTTATTGAAACGGAACGTGGAAGTCGTTTAAACATGTTCCGCCTAAACCTTACGAAATGCAAGCATATCAAATGACCACACATGATTAGGTGTCTGACTACATGTATTGGCGATAGATTCCTGAAACTGATTGTTGAGGTTGTAGAATAACTCTCATACTCGTATCACCATGTTGTCACTATATCGTGGCGTTGCTAATGAAATACGGGTTAATGTTTTTGGAACCAGTGTGTTGCCAGTACCCACAGTGTCAGTCCTATTTCTTTTGATGAATAGCTTAAAATAAAATGTTAACTACTTTGCCGGCTAGATTTCTTTTATGACGTTTTTTTCGTGTACTCGAGCCATTCCCCCCGATGAAATGACGATTTGTAAAGATTGAAGCACGCTTTAAATTGCTTTACTGCTGCACGTACTGAATGCCAAACCCTCACAAGACAGAAGACTAAAAATGGACCTCTAAGTGTTCTAATAACTCACAAACACCACAAAAACAACACAATATGCGGAGTATCGGATCTGTATATTGTAACTGTTTACTTGTTTTCTCTGTACAAATTGCGTAATCATGATTTAGTATAAAATACAAATGACTGTTAAAATAGTAATATATGTCAATAATGTTAATAATGTAATGTAATAATGTAAATTATAGTAGTAACGTAATATTTCGACGACAATTGTGATATGTAACCATTTATATGGATCACTGTTCGCAATTTAACTTTACATGAGAGTAAAAACATGTAATGACTACAGGTTGTCAAGCAAATAATGATTTTCTCGGCAGCCATTACGTCAGCCTGTCTCTGGCGAAATCAATTATCGTTCACCGTCCTACTTTGTATTGCCATACACCGCGAAGTTGTTCTCCATGCACCATTTGTCACCACTTGATTACTGCAATCGACATGACAATGCTGACATAAGTAAACTGATGTTAACATTCAATGAATTCACAGTCCCACGTTGTGAATAAACAAATGATAGTGATTAGAACGGCGGTCGTCGCACTGATATACTAGTATGAACTCCATATTAACAAAGATGGCGACTTTCATAGTTGCCCAGAGCAAAAAAACGAGTTTAACTACGCCAAGTTTAACTTGGGAAATTCTTGGGATGATTACAATGCTCCGAAAGACTAAATAGTTTGTGAGAGCGCAATGGATTATGGGAAAAACTATATTTATGAACACGAATCTTGAATATGCGTCATGAACGACCATCGCCCTATAATGGTTTGATATGTAAATTAAAGCGAAGAGGTCGTCACCTGCGCATGCACGGGAATTGAGTCCTAAGCGACGATAACAACGTAAGCTGAAAACACAAAGGCTCATGGGTAGACGCTTGTTTGTATAAAAAGACACGCTATGACCATCTGACGTATGCGAAATATAAATATGAAACATACCTGTTCTTTGGACTTTACAAGTGTTTCGTCAACAGTAGCGTCAATTGTCATCTAATTTGAATGTTGTCATTGATGTTTCTGATATAAAGAAAGCAACAAACAATTGTCAGTGCGGGTAATGTAACTAATTTAAACTAATAATTGGCATGAAACCAACAAGCAAGTAATGATACCTTCGTGTTGTTTATCGACTCTGTCACTTGAGGCGGCGGTCTTTTCGATTTGGCTGAAGTCTCGGTTCTCAATGCTGAAATGGAAAACATCCACAATTACTCACCTACATGGAGTAAACATTAAATGATGGTGCGTTTTAATTTATTTGAATAAATATCGCGCAACTTATCATTTATCTCTTAAAAAGAGAAGTATTTGTCTAGCATACACACACTTTGTTAAAACTTGTACGTTCGACCACTTTGCTGCCACGGGATGTTTAGAAGCGAACATACAGCAATTTCCACGTGAAATTACGTCGTACCGCGAATGTATTAGTAAGGGCAAATCATTGAAACTGCTGTATATTTACAAACAGGTATGAACTCCGTAATATTTTTCTAAAATAAATCAAGAAAAAATTTTTTCTCGAAACAAATCTAACTTGACGGGTTATGTTATATCTTTGTTCGACAGAGTCTCGTGTATTAACTCCGTAATATTATTGCAAATATTTAACTATGCAGGCTTCAAGTTCTCAAACCTGTTCAATCGAAACCTCTACTTTATGGTCTAGCTTATATTGGATATCTAAGCTGCATAAAACACCATTAAAGCCAGTTTTATGGCAACTTTTCAACCAAATAACTTTCCAAGATTTTGACTTTTGTTAATTCTACCATCAAATAAGGACTTCAAGAATACTGGGTTGTTATATTTCCCGGAGTTGTATTGATCAAATGAGGATATTGCACAAATAAAAAAAAATGTATGATGACGTCATATGTACAGAGATACACCAGGGAAACATTGGAATGGTTTGACATCAAGACAGAAGTAAAACAATCATGCAATATGTCAGTTTTTTTTAATAGTGGACGATTGAATAATGATAAGGAATGGCGAAAATTGCGAAACAGGAAATAGATGGAAGTTTACATCAAAGTTAAATTTCGAAGATGATTTGGCACTAATATCATCCACAAAATAGCATATCCAACAAAAAATGACAGGTTATTCACAGAAGCTAATCGAGTTGGCCTAAAAGTGAATTCACAGAAGACAAAAATAATGAAAATTAATGCAAGAAATGTCGTGGTGAAGTTCTTCAAGATGTAACTGGGTGCAAGCTTTACCAAATCAGGAGGAGGAATTGGATATATTGAAACGGAGTTTCAAAGAGGAGAAGTGCATTCATGCAGCTCAATAAAATATGGAGCAGTAACAAAAATTCAAGAGAGCAACTATACTTAAACAGTACAAATCATTGGTGTTGTAAGTGCTGTTATATGGATCTGAAACTTGGCAGATTGCTAAAGGTGACAAAAGAAAACTCAATACTTTTCAAACAGAGTGTTAAGAAGCATATTGAAGGTAAAATGGCAACACCATGTTAGGAAAGAAGAACTACTGTAAACAGGCTTGGTATGGAGGAACTGAGCAGTATAGTAATGAAGAGGAGATGAACATTTATTGGGCACATCTTAAGAGAGGATTCTACAAGTATATGCAACACAGTATTGACATGGACCCGAGAATGGAAAAGGAAACGTGGTAGACCCAAAACAACTTGGCAACGCATTGTTGAGAAGGAAAGAAATAAGGCTGGATGGAAGTCATGGACGGAAGCCACAGTCGCAGAAGCTGATAGGACAGAATGAAGACGTTCGGTGGAGGCCCTACGTCAACAATTTGTTTGAATATATTTTATTCGTGGAGTTTGGCGACATGTCGTTCAACAAATCATCTGTATTTCAATTTAACCTTATTGTGCTTCTCTGATGGCCGATTTGTTTATTTAGGACTCATATGAGGCAAACGTTCTTAGAAACTTGTAAAAAATAAAAAGATACAGGGAGGCGAAATCATTCAATTTTACGTCAAGGTATATAGATTATGTCCTTTCCATCAACATTGATTATCTTCATATGATACATCCACGTGAACTCTCATACAAGTACCTTATTCTCTATGAATTTGAAACAGTGTATGACAAAAGAAATGATTTTCCTTTGTCCTTTGTAGTAATGTATCTTTTTCATGCATATGGTGCATATATTTCTCAGCTTCATTATTATGCTAGAGTTTACACTGGATATAACTTGAAAATCGTCATAGACAGTTGTATCCTTAGCTGCTTACTCAAGCTTCTTTTTAAGTGAACGTATTATCTCAACATACAAGCGTTTAAGCGGCAGATATCATACACTGGTGACAAACACGTCAAATCACCGATTTGGCAGGTGATTGTTTTCATTTAACAACATTTATTCTATGTTGAAGTTCCCTTCATGAATTGACGACTCAAATTGATATATGGCGGTGCTACTAGTAGTTGAAACCCACATATCATCGTTTTGTACATTTAATTGTTGTGAATGGTATGAGACTATTTTTTTGCTCGTGTAGCACATTCATTTCTGTACGTTGTCGAAATCTCTATACGATTGTTGATTTTTGATTAATGGATGGTATTCATTGATCCCTATTTTCCGACATAATATCACATCTACCTGTAGAATTTTGCAATCAATTCGCAAAATGTGTTGAGCAACCTTACATACATTTCAATTGACGATTTCCGATGATAGAAATATAACGTATAAGGTGTAATGATATAAGCTTAGAAAACTCTAAATTAGTTAATTGTTATTGTTCCCCAAATATACTTCAAATTATCTTAGACCCAGGACCCGCTACATGGGAGATATACTGAGATGAATGAATACGTCAAACCACACTGAATTTATTTTCCAAATAATGAAATCTCTCTAAGAACATCATAATATATAGTAACATTGTAGTGTCAATACTCACCCGTGTTTGGTGATCACTGTGAAAAAAAGAATGAAAAATAAGTGTATTTGGAATACATAGTTTCTGGCAGGCTAGCTTGGGTATAATTCCATCGTTATCGAACTATTATTCAAAGTAATGATGATGATGATGATTATGATGATGATGATGAATGTGTTACAGAGCTAAAGTTTGAAGTTGTTCCCTGGTTGGTTTCCATTAACTGTTACTTCATAAATTCATATATAATCTAAGACATAAAATGTACATTTAAATCTAAAATACGTTCACATGCCTAGTAGTTTGGTAATGTGGAATTTTTAACCAACTCACCCACAGAACGGCTCTTTCGTTTTTTGTTAATCCTCGAATAAACAACATAGATAATAACAACAACTGCAACAACCACCGCAACAATTACACCAATTATAACAGCCAGAGACAATGTAGATACAGTTGGTGCTGTAAACAAATATACTTATAGTTGTAAAATGTTGGGATTTTTTAAAAGGCAGTGGTTGTCGCGGCGCGTCCTGTTCGATATGGAACTTATAGCGACGTATACAACGCGTGTAAAATACATTGTTTGTTACATGAAATTCGAACACGCGCTGCGCGACGACCACCGCCGCGCTTTAAGCAACGCTAATAATATCACTGACTTGCGGTTAATTGTCACTTTAGTTCAATTAGGTGATTTGATTTGAATTACGTAATATGATTGTCACTCACCAGATTCTGATACATATAATTTAATGACAAGACTGTGTTCCGAAAATATATCGCTTACAGCAATACACGTGTATTTCCCTTCGTTTGTCTTTGCGACGTCTCTAAGCGTCAACGTCGATGTAACGAGCGTACCATCTCGTACAGTGGTGACGTCTGAAGCGATGGATTTCATATTAGTATCCTTCCATACGACGGATTCAACGGATGGGTTAGAATCTACTGTACACACCAAGAATGCATCTTCGTTGTGTTTCACTGTGACATCCTCACCAGTGATCAAAGGTGAATCTACAAGGACAACATCAGAAAGACGAATATAATCAATTGCACACACCGGGATGAGATATTACTGAAAACACAGCACTCAATCAACTCATGATCTTGTGATAATTGTAACACATACAGCACAAATGTGATTTAGTAAAATGTTTTTGTTTATTTTTCTGTTGACGAAATATAAACAACTCAAATAATACTTACAATATATTTGAATATCCAGTTTCGTACTTTCTGGCTGAAGTTCTGTATTATCATAAAATGTAATATATGATTTACAGTAATATGTTTCATTTAATTTACTACTAGCAGTGTTGATGACATTGATAAAGATAACCCCGTGTTCATTTATGTCTTCACGTATTACAGTATCTCCATCAGTAACAGTAACACGGTATAACTCCATCTTGTAAGGATCTGGGACACCACCCGATATTGAACACGTGATGTTAAATACATCGCCTCTGAGAGGTGGCTCTGAAGGGCCAGTGATACTAACATTTCCAGGATCTGTGAATATGCAAATTAGGAATGATAAAGTGTATCTACCACAATAAGAATATAAACAGTTATACACCACTATCTGCCGAGTGTCTGTATGTAATAATAACAACTACAACACAATATGTATGTTCTATTAGATTTCATTATTCAATATAGTATGTTAATAGATGGCTACCCATAGTTTATAAAATAAGAGATTGGAAACTTTAAAATGTTTTATTAATTAATTTTGTTCGTTTTCAAATCAGAAATACAGCAATAGGTATACTCACATTGTACATTTAAATACTCTGATGCACTTGTTGTTCCATCACTACCGTCATGAAATGTATTAGTTGCAGTACATGTATATATCCCTGTAGAATCACGTGTTATGTCCATTATTGTATACACTCCAGGGATATGTAAATCTACGCCGTCTTTGTCCCACGTGATATCAACAGTCATTGGGTTAGCATCCAACACGAAGCAGGTCATCGATATATTATCACCTTCTTTGCCAACATACGGCATCGACAATTTCACAGTTGGGGAGTCTGGTGGTGAGATATAGCATTTACATAATGAAAATTAATTGATGTACATTTCATTTTCATGTGCTTATGCAAATTATAACAGTTGTCTTTAAGGAAGATGTGCAACATACCAACAAATCATTAGAAAAAAATCATCGTTACCTACATTGAACATCAAGATACTTCGTGACATTCACAGAACCAACGCTACCGTCGTAGAATATGTTTACAGCTGAACATGTATAATTTCCTGATGCATTTCTTGGGACGTTAATTAACTCAAACAGTGATGTAACACCGAGATCTATTCCATTCTTAAACCATGCGATATTTTCTACCATAGGATTGGCATCTTCTACAGAACAATTTAATGTGATATCGGAACCCTCTTTGGCGATTTCCGACATTGTCACACTCACAGACGGCAGATCTATGTATTCAAATTTGTTAACAATGTAATTTCCTGGAGGTATTTGTTTGTTCACTGTACTGGTATGTGTGTATAATTTTATATAATCCTCCGTTTTTTCGAACGAATGTGACGTCACCGTGGACGAGTAACTCCTCGTATAGCAGCAGTAAAAATCCGAGCCACAGAGAGTCACGAGTCAGTGATGAAATCACATGAGGAGTACCGGAAAATTGTATATTTACATATTCGTAAACACAGTATTCTAAGCGAAGATAGAGTCAGTCGGCAAAATTTAGGCAAGGTTAGGTTACCGGAAGCATACTATTTTTTGTGTTTAGTCTAATGTAGTTTGAATTTTTTTTTATTAATTTAACTTTTTTATACGACTTTTAACTTACAAATTATTATACTTTAAGCTACTCTATTTTAGCATAAATTAATTTCACTGAAAAGGCAGTTTGGGTGTTTTGTATGAAGTATAGTTTCAATGATTCTTGGCGAGTTAAATAATTTTTACTGGATTTTATTTCGACTAGTGCATCCTTTCTGCGTAAATACCAAAACTTAATTTCAAGTAAAAAAGAGTACATTTCAGAAGTTAAAACTATTGCCTCGTTACAAATAGTAAAATTATTTTTGAAATTGTGAAAATTATATTTGCTCGGATTGTTCAAGCATATATCCAAGTTGTTAATTAATGAAATACAGTCACCATGGCGTTAATGAAACGTGACTGTATAATATGCACTACATGGTTTTTAATATTTAAATAAGAAACACCTATTATACTCACATTGTACATTTAAATAATTTGATGCACTTGTTGTTCCATCACTACCGTCATGAAATGTATTAGTTGCAGTACATGTATATATCCCTGTAGAATCACGTGTTATGTCCATTATTGTATACACTCCAGGGATATGTAAATCTACGCCGTCTTTATACCACGTGATATCAGCAGTCATTGGATTAGCATTCAAAACTAAGCAGGTCATCGATATATTATCACCTTCTTTGCCAACTTCCGGCATCGACAATTTCACAGTTGGAGAGTCTGATGGTGAGATATAGGGTTTACATAATGGGAATTAATTGATGTACATTTCATTTTCATGTACTTATGCAAATTATAACAGTTGTCTTTAAGAAAGATGTACAACATTTGAACAAATCATTAGAAAAAACATCGTTACCTACATTGAACATCAAGATACTTCGTGACATTCACAGAACCAACGCTACCGTCGTAGAATATGTTTACAGCTGAACATGTATAATTTCCTGATGCATTTCTTGGGACGTTAATTAACTCAAACAGTGATGTAACACCGAGATCTATTCCATTCTTAAACCATGCGATATTTTCTACCATAGGATTGGCATCTTCTACAGAACAACTTAATGTGATATCGGAACCCTCTTTGGCGATTTCCGGCATTGTCACACTCACAGACGGCAGATCTATGTATTCAAATTAGTTAACAATGTACATTTCCTGGAGGTATTTGTATAGATATATGTGTATAATTATATATAATCCACCGGTTTTCGAACGAGTGTGACGTCACCGCGGACGAGTGACTTCTCGTATAGCGACAGTAAAACTCCGAGTTGCAGAGAGTCACAGTCGAAGATGGCGTCACATGAGGAGTACCGGAATCTTGTATATTTATCATATTCGTAAATCAGTCTTCTAAGCGTAGATAGAGTTGGTCGACGCAATTTAGGTATGGTTGGGTTACCGGAAGCATACAATTGTACAATTGTTTGTGTTTAGTCTAATATGGTTTGATTTTTTTCGATAAATTTAACTTTTCTATACAACTATTAATTTACAAATTATTATACTGTAAACTACTTTAGTTTAGCATGAATTAATTTTCACTGAAAAGACTGTTTTTGGTGTTTTGTGTGAAGTCTATTTTCAATGACTCTTGTTGAGTTGAATATTTTTTTTACTTTCAGCGTAAATAGCAAAAATGAATTCCAAGTGCAAAAAGTACATTACAATAGTTAAAACTATTGCCTCGTTTCAAATAGTAAAATTATTTTTCAAATTGTGATAATTATATTTATTTTTCATTTGTTCAAGTATATATCCAAGTTGTTAATCAATGAAAAAAGCAGTCACTGTGGCGTTAATTAAACATGACTATATAATATGCAAACTGGTTTATATTATTTAAATTAAAGAACACCTATTATACTCACATTGTACATTTAAATAATTTGATGCACTTGTTGTTCCATCACTACCGTCATGAAATGTATTAGTTGCAGTACATGTATATATCCCTGTAGAATCACGTGTTATGTCCATTATTGTATACACTCCAGGGATATGTAAATCTACGCCGTCTTTATACCACGTGATATCAGCAGCCATTGGATTAGCATCCAAAACTAAGCAGGTCATCGATATATTATCACCTTCTTTGACAACTTCCGGCATCGACAATTTCACACTTGGAGGGTCTGGTGAATAGCATTTGAAGAACGAATATTGAAAAAGTTAACATTTCGTGACATTACGATTTAAAGTGGCAATGATCTAGCTGGTAACTACTAATTTTGTTATGAAACAGCTCACGACAAACTTCAAATGTATTAGTCCGCCATTTTAAAACCAGCTGGGTTTGCTAAAATGTTACTGACAAACCTGAGGCTTGCTCATACTGGTATCATATTTTATAACACAGTTTTAAATACAAGCATGCAATCTTTTGCAAAAAGTTATTTTCAAGACACAGAGAATTACATCTGTTGGTGATCAATTGTGACCCGCGCCTTGATACAAATGATCATTAATGTTATCAGGAATGACATGATAAGCACCAGTGTTGCCAATCATAAACTGTATCTGTATTTCTCATAGCTTTAGAAATACAATTTTGTATGAGGATGACTCACATGATCCAAAAAATGAGGGATAAAATATACTCAAATTGCAAAACAAAACATTGTTCGAGATCCACTCACGAAATGTGATACTTGTATCAAGTTTGACTGACATCGGCCAGTGTATTTTCATGAAATCCGTGCTATGTGGGACAATATCATTTTTTTTATCCAACCATGGCCAACATATAAATTACTGGTTAATTTGAATAAAAATAAGAAACACAAGTAATAAAAATAATATATAATATATATATAGTCTGAGGTCGAAATAAACAACGTGCCACGGCAATCCATCATGGTTACGATGATCCTATTTATTGCTGTGAAATTGTTGTACGATTACACTCTCTCTCCCGCAAAGACATCGCTCATTCAACTAAACTCCATTTCGAATAAAACGTTACCTACATTGAATATCAAGATACTTTGTGATATTTTCAGAACCAACGCTACCGTCGTATAATATGTTTACAGCTGAACATGTATAATTTCCTGATGCATTTCTCGGGACGTTAATTAACTCAAATAGTGATGTAACACCGAGATCTATTCCATTCTTAAACCATGCGATATTTTCTACCATAGGATTGGCATCTTCTACAGAACAACTTAATGTGACATCGGAACCCTCTTTGGCGATTTCCGGCATTGTCACACTCACAGACGGCAGATCTACGTATATAAATTCGAAGATGAGTGCATAATATTATGCTTGTATAAGAATTATTCTATAAAACAATTTACATGAAACGTCAATAATAATATAGTAGAAATTTCTTCTAATCTTCTAATGCATTTATTTTCTGATTCTCTGGTCAATAAAATGTCATATACTCCTGAATTGTTATTGAAATGCTAGGTTTACACGAATGATGTGTATGATATGTATCTCCGCGGCACTTACACTGAACATTGAGATGATGAGTGACATTATAGATTCCAATACTACCATCATAAAACGTGTTTATTGCAGTGCACGTGTAATTTCCAGTCTCCAATCTCGTTATATCTGTCATCTCATACACTGTGGGAATATGTAAATTAACTCCATCTTTGAACCAGATGACGTCATCGGTTGTTGGATTGGCATCTTCCACTCTACACATTAGCGTTATGTTTTCTCCTTCCTTGCTAACAGTTGGCATGGAAACGGTAACATTTGGGGAATCTGGTAAAGACATTTGTTACAAGAGAAGTTAAGCTTCGTATCATAAGAGTGTACTACGAAGTACTATATTGTAAAACAATAGAACACTTACACTGAACATCCAATATAATATGATTACAACCAGTGGCATCTATATCGTTCCAGAAAGTATTACGTGCACAACAGGTATAGTTCCCGTTATCCTGTCTTTGAACGCCATGTATTTCCAATCTCTCGCCATAAATGATGCCACTGAGGTCGTGCTTCCAGTAAACAGTCGCATATGGGTTCGCGTCAACATTGCAATATGCGTAGTACGAATTCCCTTCAACAACGTACCATTGCGTTGACGCATTGACAGTGACGGTGGGCGAATCTAAATACAATGATGTTAAAAGTATTCAGAAAATGGGATTCCTTATAATGAATTTAATGAAAGACTAAGTAGGAATGTGTTATTGGTTTTTGTAAAACATTTATTGGTTTTCCTTGCATAAGCAAATGAGATGACTAACTAGTCTTAGAACATAATTAATATTACTGTTCGAAAACGTACACTGTACATTGATATTTATAATCTGTTCCGCTGAGCCCAGTTCCTCGTCATACAATCTGTTAGACGCACTGCACGTATATGTACCAGTACGATTTCTGTGGACTTCATCGAAGTGTAGTTGGGACTCATGAAGAATAAAACCATTCGGGTACTTCCACGTTATGTTTGCATTCGGATTGGCATCGGCTGAACAGTTCGACGTGAAATCATATCCCTCTATCACAGTCCCGTTGTTTTGATCAAGCACTGTGAGAGTCGGTGGATCTAATGAGACAAAAAATAAGCCAGACGAGTGTAAGAACGACCTCGGCTGAAAAGAAATCATTTAATTTTAATTTTGTTAACGTTACATGATGACACAGAAATCGTACTTACACTGGACATCATGGAAGGAGGTGTAATTCACACTTCTGATCGTATTATCGTGTAATATGTTGACTGCTGTACACGTATAATATCCAGTGAATTCTCTGTTGATGTTTACGATTTCGTAGACTGCAGGGACGTTGAGATTAACTCCGTCTCTTAACCATGTGATGCTATTAGGCACAGGATTGGCGTCGGTTACAGAACAATTGAATATGACGTTCATGCCTTCTTTGCTGAATAATGGTACGTTCACTTCCAATAATGCGGGATCTATTATAATAATTTCGAGAAGATTTACATCATTGTACTTTGCTACAGTTTAAAGCGAGGGAGTCGTCACCTGCGCATGCATCATATGGCCATAGCGTG